ACTTTGGCACAGATGCAATCAGACTCAGAGAGAGAGAGAGAGAGAGAGAGAGAGATCAGGAGGTGCAAGGGCATGATGCCAGTTTTTGCTCCACTCTGGCAAAGATCACATGGTAGGTGGTATCACAAGGGTGGGAAAACAAAATCACACGGTTCTGTAATTACTGTTCTATTGCTGTGAAAAGACACCATGACCAAAGCAGCTTATAAAAGGAAGCATTTAGTTGGGGGTTTGCTTACAGTGTCAAATAGTCTATTATCATCATGGCAGAGAGCATGGCAGCAAGCAGGCAGGCATGGTGCTGGAGAAGTAGCTGAGAGCTTTACATCCTGACCTGCGAGCAGCAGGCAGAGAGAGAGAAACAGAGAGACAGACAGACAGAGAGACAGAGACAGAGAGAGAGACAGAGACAGAGAGAAAAGAAGAGAGAGGAAGGGGAGGGAGAGAGAAGAGAGGGAAGGAGAGAGAGAGGAGGGAGAGAGAGGAAAGGGAGCGAGAGACTGGGCCTGGGAAACCTTAAAGGCCACCCCCAGCAACACACTTCCTCCAACAAGGCCACGCCTCCTAATCTTTATAATACTTCTCAAATAGTTTACAACTTCGGACTAAGCATGCAAATAGTATGAACCTACAGGCGCCAATATCATCTAAACTGCCACACATGTTGTGATAGTTTTAGTTATCAACTTGACTGGATCCGGAATCACCTGCTAGATGAGCCCCTGGGAATGCTTCTGGAGGATTATTTTAATGAAGTAAATTGAGTGCAAAAGCCAGCCCACTGTGGGTGGCATCATTCCCTGGACTGGGATTCTGAACAGTATAAAAAGGAGAGAGTAAGCTGAGCACAGATATCCGTCACTCTATTTCTTAATAGTGGATGTGATATGGCCAGCCTTCTCCAGCTCCTGTTGCCTTGACTCCTCCACAGTGATGCCTGAAATATGAAACTGTTATCCAAAATAAGCCTTCCTTAAATTACTTCCTTAAGGACATATGACCAAAAGATAAACAGGAAGGCAGAAAATGTGCAAGAGATAATCTTAAGAGCTTCCAGTAGGCTCTACCTCTTAGAGGTCCTACCTTTACTTAATATCACCACACTGGGAACTAAACTTCTTATGCATGAATCCTTGCAGAGCAAAACCACATTCAGATCACACAAGCCTTAAGTCACCTAGAATCCTGTTCTCAGAAAAGACAGCATGCTATCATCACAACAGCATGGCATAAGAGTATGGGAGCCCACAGAGGTTTCCTAGCGAGATCTGAGCTTGCTTTACACAACAGGGCTGCATTAGGGGATGACTTGACCACGTGCATGGTCACCAGGTGTCTGGGATGGTCTGCACTTGGCTGTGCTGCGGGGGGAGGTCTTTTGCTCCACCCCTTGGCATTCCTTTAAAAGCCCTTTAGACTAGACAGAAGGGACTGGTGGGCTTTGACCCAAGCCCTCCTGAGGCTATCCTGTGTTCCTGTCTCTCTCCTCTATATTTCTATCTAAATCTCTTGTTCCTCACCCCTCAAGAGTCCCTGGGGTAAGTAAATGTGGGAGCTGCCCACCCCACACACAGAGAAGGAATAGACTTTAGCAAGTTAGGGTATTCCCAGGGTCTGAAGGACTCTAGTAGAGGAAATTTGCCTTGGAAACAAGTCTTTGAAAGAGAAAGAACCATTCCTCAGGAGGGGGCAGTGGGCTAAGCCCCTGCTGCTCCTTATTGCTGAGGTCCAAGGACAAAAACCTGCCCTGAGGAGTATCTCAGGAAATAGGAAGTTTCATACTATTTTCTTCAGGGGAAAAGTTGTTTCCTGGACTCTTACTCTGAGAGTGTCTGACCTTATACAAACTTCCCACTGTGTACAAAGCACTCAAAGAACTGGGCTGACACAATCCCCACCCCACCCTCAATACCTACTTGAACTTCAAAGGCCCATTTAGGGGGCGTGTCGAAAGGGATTAACTATAGGAGGCTTAACACCACTTTTGTGGACAAGCAGATTTCAGTTATATCTTCCAGGCGGATTTTGCAATAGCAGAATGAATATTCATCCAGAAATAAGAGCCCTGACCTTCTAACCCCATAAAGATGAAATCTGATGGCACAAAGTGAACTTTCATATAGATATCAGAATCTTGAACCATTCAGGGGCGGGGGGAAGGGAATAGTAAAAATGTTATCTATGCTATTATGATTCTGAGATTATGAAATAAGCAAGAAAGAATGGCAAAACATTGGGATAGTGGGGTATTGTCTTTTTTCTCCTATGAGTGTAAAAGGGAAAGAGAAGGGGGATGCACCTGTGCTGGTAGTTTTATGTCAACTTGACACAAGCTAAAGTCATCTGACAGAAAGGAATCTCAATTAAGAAAATGCCTTCATAAGATGGGACTGTAGGCAAGCCTGTAAGGCATTTCTTAATTAGTGATTGATGGGGGAGGGCCCAGCCCATTGTGGGCACTGCCATCCCTGGGCTGGTGGTCCTGCATTCTGTAAGAAAGCAGGCTGAGCAAGCCATGAGGAGCAAGCCAGTAAGCAGCTCTCCTCCATGGCCTCTGCACCAGTTCCTGTCTCCAGGTTTGAGTTCCTGCCTGACTTCCTCCAATGATGAACAATGATATGGAAGAGTAAGCCAAATAAACTCTTCCTCCCCAGTTGGTTTTCCGGTTACGGTGTTTCATCACAGCAATAATAACCCTAACTAGGACAGCATTCAACCAATGTTCCCTAAAACTCTATTTAAGGGTTTCTCTTTTATGCTTCACAGCAGCCAAGAAGCTCAGACATTATCTCCATTTGGGTGTGTGGGGGTGTTTTTGTGTGCGTGTATGCTTGTTTTGTTGTGGTATCATGGATTGAGCCTTAGGAATGCACTCTCCAGCTGAGCTATACTCTCAGCCAGGAGCTCAGTGTTCAGGGTAGGGGTGGGGAAGCACCCTAGTGTTGCACCCGGGAAGTCAGCTGCCCAGAGGTTTTGCAATCCAGGTTTGCCATTACCTCTGTCCCCAAGAGGTAGTGTGATATATAAGTTGGTGACCTTCTATTGGCCCACATCAGTAGTTTGGATTGTAGAATTCTGTCCCATGTTTTAAAATACAGTCACCCAAATGGAAAGGCTAAGAGCCACCCGCCCAGAAATAAACTGAAGGCTTGGTGATACAGAAGTGAATATAGGCTAAAGGGATTCCCTGAACCCCTAAAATGAAGCCTCTCAATTCCTTGTTTGGTTGAGTTATATTTATTGATATTTATCCTCCTAGATGCTATTACAGAAAAGATTTCAAATCTTTAAATCATTTTAAAGTAAACATAATACATCCATTAAGTGTGCTTTATAAAAAAGAAACTTTTTCGAAATAAAACAAAGTTAAGAAGAAAACCGAAACTGTTCTGCATTTCCATAAATTCTTTAATGTTCGTCTTAACGGAAAGCAGCTGGAGTCTCACATCTGCTTTCCCAGTTAGTCTGGGGGCTATTGCCCTTCATGTCGTCCCTGGGGCCTGTTTCTGTGCATGGGTGGGAATGTGCATGAAAAGAGCCTATGACACCTTGGGAAATTGATAGAAATAATCTTGACACTGTTGGAAGCCGTCTTGGGTACCTTCTAGAGTCTAGAGACCTGGACCACACTTTGAGGACCATAGCCTCAAGAGCTATTAGTGACCGAAAGAGCTATTACCACACTTTGAGGACCATAGCCTCAAGAGCTATTAGTGACCGAAAGAGCTATTAGTGAGCAAAAGGAGATGAAAAGTGAGGGGGGCATTCAAAGACATACCAGGGTCTTCTCAAAGGGTACTTCGAAATCAGGACATCACCTTCCACTTTCAGTCTCTGCTCAGACTCTCTCTCTCTCTCTCTCTCTCTCTCTCTCTCTCTCTCTCTCTCTCTCTCTCTCTCTCTCTCTCTCTCTCTCTCTCTCTCTCTCTCAAGATAGGGTTTCTCTGTGTAGCCCTGGCTGTCCTGGACCTCACTCTGTAGACCAGGCTGGCCTCGAACTCACAGAGATCTACCTGCCTCTGCCTCCCGAGTGCTGGGATAAAAGGTGTGTGCCACCAAGGCCAGGCTCTCAAGAGAGACAAATTACACTTGAGATAACTGGGTAGGAGGGAGTTGGTTAATTCTCTCTGGAACACACTGACTTTTGTTTAGTTTTGTCTGTTTGTTTTAGGGTGTTTTTTATTGGGGGGGGTGGTTTTGTTTTGTTTTTGAGACAGAGTCTCTGTGGCCTCGGCTGGCCTGGATCTATGTAGCTGAGAAAAACGCTGAATTCCTGATCCTCCTGCTTCCACTTTCCAAGTGGTAGGCTTATAAGCCTGATATTAACATTCTAAATCGGAGTTTTCCTATGCTAAAACTACAAAGTGGCTGTAATCAGGCTTTTCAGAATTTCCGAAACGGGGTCAGTGACCCAGCAGAACCTAGGAGCAAGAGTTCCAGTGCTCACTCTCATGATTGAGCCGCTTCTACATCCATAAACTTAAGCTGCACCGACCCCTGGATCTCCCCGTCTGGCCTGCGGTGACGTCAATATCGGTGCCACGGACCTATCTCCTCCCTCCCCAGCTTTGCTGTTCCTCAGCACTGGCTCACCCACCCCGACTGCAGTACCCACCCCTCCCCGGCGGGGCGTCCATCCCAGCTGCGCGCACCCCATCTCTGTTTTCTGTCGGTTCTGCCCGCCTCCGGTGGGACTCTGCCAGGCCAGGCGGAAACTCAGAAACAGATTTAGATGCAAAATGAGTCTGAGCACCTACTCCTGCCGAGCCCAAGCTTTAACTCGGCATCTTCAGAGAGAGTTGTGGCAGGAGGGACAGCTTTAGGAGCTCAGGAAGGTGAAGGTGGCGGGCTGTGACCACACTTCTGCTAGATTCCCTTCCTCACCAGAGGTGAGGATGAGGCTGGCTGCCGCTAAGGAGCAACTCACACCTCACCCAGCCTCACCAGGGGCAAATCTGGCTAACCCAGGCTGGGACAGGAGTCGCTACTCCACTGGGTACCTGGGCTGGAAGAGAGAAGAGCTCCCCAGGGCTCTGCGCAGCTTGTTCTTGAAGCTCCAGAATTCTCCGTCCAGGTAGCGGTGCAGGGATGAGTCCCCAAGCCCCAGGTCGGGAGTCGGCTCCATCTGTGTGTGTGAGGCTGCAGGCTGTTCTTTCTACACACCTCCTCAGAACTCTCGGCTTATGGGCCCTCCTACCTATCATTCCACTAGACTCGTTTCCTCCCGGCTCACTGGGCTGTCTCCTCCCTCTTCACCTGTCCATCACACACCCTCCCAGGCGCCCTCCCTCCTAGGCTTGAGGCAAAGAGCTAGCTGTCCAGAGCGTTTGAGCTCCACCGGTGTTCTCCCATCCTTACTAGGAACCACTCATTAACTCTAAGCCCTTATCCCACCAGTAAGTTGTCCCTCCAGATTTGTGGGTCACTAGAAGCAAGCATCAGCTCCTTAAAAGGGATGCTGGTCTGATTTCTCTGGGCCACAGCCAGACAGACGCTCAGCGTTAAGCCATTTCATCTACTCAACAGAACCACCCACCCAGCCATTTTGCCTGGCTCCCAGGACCTGAGGTGGTCTGGCCTCTGCTCAGATCCCACCACTCCAAACTGGGCATTGTGTACCTTCAATCTGGAGGCGGTACAAACCTACAGGATGGCGGGACAAGGTACTTGGGAACTATAGACAGAGGTAATGAACACAACTCACCCACCAGGAATCTCTATCTATCTATCTATCTATCTATCTATCTATCTATCTATCTATCTATCTATCTATCTATCTATCTATCTCTCCCCATTATTGCTGTGATCATATAGAGGAAAATGTCCGCTTCTCCCTTCCTTTCAAAGGCTACTTTGTGCTGTCTTCAGGTCAGGAGATGCCACCTCAAGGAGTAGTTTCCTCTGACTCATAAATTACCACAGGTTGATTGCCTTAGATGGCACAAATGTAATTATTTATAGTCCCAGAAGACAGAAATTGAAGCTGGATTTCCCAGGGCTAAAATCAAGGTGTTGGTAGGGCTGGGTTCCCTTTGGAGGCTACTGGGGAAAAATCTGTTCCCATGGCTTTTTCTAGCTTTGGGGGGGGGGAGGCTGCCTGCATTCTTGCCTCTCCGCTCCTTTCTCTGGCCTCAAAGACCATCATTCCAACCTCTGCTCCCAGCATTCCGTCTTCTTTTCTTCTTCTCACTAGCCTTCTTGACTCCCTCTTAAATGACTCATGTACACTGATTCCACCTGTATAATACATGATAGCCTTCCTATCTCAACATCCTGAAGTCACATCAGCAATGTCACCTTTGCCAAAAAAAAAATAAATAAATAAAAGGCCACATATTCTTAGGTTCCAGAGATCAGGACATAAGCATTATTGGTGGGCCATTTATTTATCTACCACACTATCTGTGTAACTTCAAGAAGCAATACCCACCTGATGGCAGAGAGTAACATCCCTGTTCCTACATAATAGGAATCCAGGAGGTGGGAGCATTCAGAAGACTGAGTGGTTGGCTCAGGGTCATTCTTTCTGCTCCACCCATCTATCAATCATTTCTCTGTATTTTCTTTATCTTTTCATTAACACTTGTCTCTTCCAACCTATAGTAAGGATGTTGTCAAGTACCATGTGTGCCAAACTGAAGAAGCATCTTCTCCTGCATTTCATGGCAAGCAATACCATATGGCTCTGTGTAGCGTGATCACCATTAGCACCCACATTTTAGGGGTTTTAAAGACAAAAGTTTATTTCTCACCCATGCCACCTGGGAATTCTACTTCTGTCCTCTCACTTCAGGTCCCAAATGATAGAATCATCAACATTGTGTCACCACACAGGCTTTCACAGCTGGAAAGGACACAGGTGACATCCAGATTCAATTAATCAGGCAGAGCATTTCACTGCTGACTTGGGAAAGTAAAATCCTAGGCATGCCCAGAAGGCCAACACCTAAATCAGTCTGTGAGCAGTGCTAGTGACTACTGAATCTGCTACTTTAGCTACTGTGTCTTCCACAGGTAAAGTGAACTCCCCTCTCTGCAAGGGAGGCAACAAGGACCCACACTGTCACAGCATCAAGTCCAAAGTCCCTTCAGGAGGCACAGTGGTCACTGCATCAGTCAGGATGTATTTTCTCCTGACCTAAAGATCTAGAAACTAGGAAGACAAGTGACTACACTGTCTTCTATTGCATGAAGTTGAAGTGGAGGTGGGGAAACCTTCTGCTGTTACAAGTCACCATAAGTTTTTGGAGAATTGTGCATTACATGTCTATGGAAGATATTGGAAGAATGTTGGTGAATTTAAATATGTACACACAATATTAAATATAGACACACAAAAATATATGTGTGTGTCTGTGTACATATGTGTATGCCCATATATATGAATACATACATATATATATATACATATACATATATGCCCATATATATGGGCAGGAAGGATGGTATTGGAAGGAGGTTCATTCTAAGAAGTGATAGATGATGAGGACAGAGAGATGGCTCAGCAGTTCAGAGCACTTATTGCTCTTGCAGAGGATGCAGGTCTAGTACCCAGCACCCACATGGTGCCTCACAACCATCTATAGTTCTAGTTCCAGGGGACCCAATGCCCTTTTCTGATCTCCATAGGCACCAGGATCACATGTGGTGGATACGTAGATGTAGGCAAAATACTTCACACATAAACCAAATATTTTAAAATTTTAAAGAAGTGATAGGAGTTAGACAAAACTGTCATTGGTTTGTGGCATGCTTAATGAACACATGGCTCCAGGAGACACCAAAAGCATAAAAGAACATTGTATGTTGGCTGATATTGCTATGACAGCCATTTTTTAGCAAGAAGTGGGCTTAGAAAAGGCACAGCTGGTCAGGCCTGGTGGCACACACCTGTAATCCTATCATTTGGTAGATGAAGGCAGAAGGTCATAAGTTCAAGGTCAGCCTGGGCTATATGAGACCCTATCTCAACAAACAAACAAAGCAAAAGAAAGACACAATCATTTTGCAAGTGGAGTGAAAGGGAATAAAGAGGAACTTTGGGGGTGGAAGAGATAACTGCTTCATAACTTCTTTTCTATTAGGAAAAGATAAACCTGAGTAGTAGAGAGGTTTTTGGGGGGAGGGGGAGGGGAGCTGTTTTTAGGACAAAGGTTAATTAGGACTCAAGACCTCCAAACTCCACACTGTGACAAGGATAGAATCGAAGGTCCAGCTTGAACCCTGGTGACAAGCAGACTTCACTCTGACAAACAACCCCCTCCTCACTCCCAGGCCACACTGCTCCAAACGATGCCCATGTGAAGCTTTGCAGGCTTCTGGGTCAGAGACCAAACCAAAATCTGCCCCCTACTGACTGAAAGGATACTAGAGATGACACTCATACTCCAGACTATCCTGGATGATACTAGAAGATACTTTTCACATGCCATACCTTCTTCCAAGGGCCAGAGAAACATAATCCTTTTCCCTGCCCAGAGCAATAAGAATCAAAAGTTCCTTAGCCATCTCCAAAGCACTTCCTGCGAATCTTTTAATATTAGCAAGGAGAATCTGTGAAATAAACAACTTAGGAAAGTTGCCTTAGACTCACTTGGCTAAATTAAATAGGTCCACTGGCCACTGTTTTAGTTTCCTGCCGCAGAAATACTCCAAACTGATAGGTTAGCCACAGAAACCCATTTTCTCACAGATATGAATGCTGTCAGTCTGAAGCTGAAATGTCTGTCAGCAGTGTCTGGTCCTGTGAGCTATAGGGAAGAATCCTTCCTTACCTCTTCACAGACTGTAGTGGCTTCCAGAAACCTCCAGCATTCCTTGGTTTGTAGCTGCATTGTATCGTTCTAATAACCGTCTCACTCATCATGTGACCTTCTTCCTTGTGTTTATTTTCAAAGTTCCCTCTCACACAAAGACACGAGTCACTGGGTCAAGAGCTCAGCCTAATCCAGTATGTATGACTTCTTCCCAACCTGATGACATCTGCAAAAATCCTATTTCCAAAGAAGGAGGACTTCTGAGGTTCCAAATGAACATATTTTGTGTGTGTTGGGAGTACTATTCAAACTATTACACTCACCTAAAATTAATCTTGGGCCAATAAATGGAAAGAAGTAATCACTGTTAGTTTAGATAATTGATTTCTGCGTTAACCACGTACCAGAGAAACTAGAGTTTTTTTTAAAGGCTCAGTGACACTCTTCCTATCTCATAATTTCTCTATAATATACCCCTTTTCCTTCAGAAAGAGAACTTTGAATCTAACTCCTCTGTTTAGGTTTTTTTCCCTTATTATGACAAATAATAAGTTGCAACAACACCCCTAAACAAAGACAAACATCCTTTGGGAATGTGGGCATTGTTTTTTCTAGATTGCTTCCTATTGTCTGGGGGCACTGTTATCTTTGGGGGATCCTGAGAAAATTTAGGATAATGGTTAAGTCTTGACTGGAGTAGTCTGTGAGGCTGTATCATCTCAGCCAGCAGCCTTGGATGCAAAACTCTGAGGAAACTGCAACAGAGGTGTTCTAAGATATCGGATCACCTGGGCCATCTGTTTTTATTGGTGTTTTGTCCCCTTGCTCTGAAAATACATAAACTTTTGAAGTTAACATACATATTTGCATTAATACAAGTATAGACTGTGTATTGTACACAATCAGCCAAAGATGATTTTTTGTTTTATGTTTGAGCAGGTAAAATATACATTATATGTCTCATAGTTTTTCTAGGTTTATTTCTTTATATCTGTGCCCAGGATTTTCAGGGGTCTTCATTGATCTTCTTCAACCCTAAATGAATTGATATCCTTTCATTTTCTGTGGGAACAAAAGCATAATCTTTTCCCCAAAGCAACATGTCTTTTGACTTCCATTTTGAAGTCAAGATATTTTTTAAATATATAGGATAGCTTAATCCAGTAATTTTCATAATCCAATGTCACTTAACGGCTATTGTTCGATCATCAGCAATCAAGGAATTTAAAAACAACACAATAACATATAAGATCCAGACTCCCTGTATATTTTCCATCTCTACATGGCTTGTTGTTTCTTTGTTTTATTTCTCTCTTTAAAGACTTTATTATTTTTAAACTATTTCTCCTTTGACTGTCTATATCCTTTCTCTTTTCTATCC